TGGGAAGTAGCAGCAACAGGGGAGAACAAGAGCTATAGCCTACGCGACTGACCTTTCAGATAAGCGTTTGACAGAGCCATCATGTTACTTAGGGGAAATACTGCTGGTGTTCTGGTACGAGAATGCACAAAGACCTTCCGCCATAAATGTCAATTAGAAAGTCACATCTGTCACATTTGTGTCCATTTTCACTCCATTTATAGATAGGTCTAATGACTAGCATCAAAGAAAGGAAATATACTGATTTCACAGCAGAGAAAGTCTGTATTAGAGAAAAAAAAAGTACATTCCCATTAGAATCATAATTACAATAAAAGAGATACTTGGGACATCACCATCTAAGCTCCAAACATCTTTGATATAAAGCAAATGGCAATTGATCACCACAACATGCTGCTTCTCAGCAGTGCTCAGAATTCCTGTTCAATAGGCATAAAACCTCCAACCGTGATGCCCTGTAGATGCGATACAAGGTCTGGCTTTAAAACCATTTGCTGAAATCATAGATGCAAAGGATCCAGAGAAAATTTGCAGAGTTGCTTGGTTCTGTGTAGTCTGAACTTTAATATTAAATAACAGAGACAGTAGAGGAGACACGTAATTACTCCAGACATTACATATCGTTCCTTACAGGCCAAGGTGCAAAGCTACTGCTTAACATCAACTGGTTTGGACAGTTCAAACCTACTATCAAAAGCAACTGTATGTCACAGCCTAACTTTGGCTGCATGAAACTAAAAGATACAGGACAATCTTTATAAGTCAGCCTTGCACACTGCAGTGTGAGTAGTTTCTCACGTGTGAGAAAATGAAGGTGAAACTAACTTTCTTAATTGCTAAGAACTGACAAAATATGATGTTTGCAGGAGACATTTGTCTTTGATGGGATTTTCTACTTCATTGAATAGCTTCCCTGATCTTATTTATGAATGATTTATCAGAACAGACTCCTACAGACAAAGTTGGCCCTGAGGACCAGTGCTGGAAGTGCCAGCAGCACGTGTTGTGATCTGCAGCAGAGCAGGGCTCTTGTCTGGTTCAAGTTTGTCTGCATTTTGCCAAGCCCTAGAAAAGTTTCTTCTCTACATCAGAGCTGATCTCCAAAGGTGGATGCCAGTGGCGGGAATGTCTGAAGCATTAGTTTTCTTATTACTGGAATAAGAAATAAATTAAAAGAAAACTGAAAGAGTTATCTTCTGGTTGGAAAATATAAATATTGTCTAATTGAAGAGGCACTGATCAGAACTACTGGACTGGCCTTTCAGGGTATGAACTCCAGAGATTATATACAGATACCGGTTAGCCTTTTATAAGTTCTGTATGACAAAGCACAGAATATTCATAAGGAGTTCATTCTCTAGGTGAAGAAAAATAAAATTCTATTTCAGCTTGACATGGATAGAGAACTGCACAGAAACTGTTTTTTCCGCTGGAGTGATCTGCTGTAGGAGTTAGCCATATGCTTTAAATGTGACTGACATGTCTCTGAATTTAATGTGTCACCTGCTGAGTTCAGGATCTGCTGTCTATCTCTCAACGTGTAAAAAATGAATTGCTTCAAAATGATTTATTGCCAGCAAAATAGAATGTGAAAACAACAATAGAAACAGTGCTGTAAAGGCATCCTAAATTTAATAGCACTATTTGATGAGTAAATTATTTTACAAATATAATCAAACATTCTTAGTGTGAAGATTCAGCCTTGATAAAGCTATCACATAGTCTAGTATCTGGTTTCCTAATTCATTAAGAGTTAATGCCATTAAGAACATAGCAAAACGTACTACTAACAGCCTGGGTTCCATTACAGCTTGTAACTCAGTGTGGAAAACATAGGGTTATAATTTCAATCTGTGCAATTAATCTCACAACTTTCATTTTTTTCTTGTAAAGTATCTACAGAAGCATCTTTAATAAAGGATTTTCAATTTCTATTTCTTTTCTACAAACAGGTTACTTGCATTATAAAGCTCATCTGTGTACATGCTAGCAAATGCTTGATACATAGAACTATTTGGAAAACATGGATTACTCTTCAGAAATTTTGAAATAGATTGGTGTTGATGTTTAGTCTTTTTAATATATTAACCTTAGAAAGATTAACATAAATGATTAAATTAAGTGACAAATACTGGAGGTAAAAGCTTCAATTCAACAAGATATTTAAGTATAAATATAATTGTCAGGTGAATGCTTCTACTATATAAACAGGATTGCTTTCATGCTTAAAAGTAAGCTTTAAAAATAGTAAAAATAAAATAAATCATAAGGCATACTCAGCTTCTAGAAGAAGTACCCATAAAACACATTTTCCTTCTTTAAAAAAAAAAATAAAAAAATCAAAGCATAGGGGCTTAGCACCCTTTAAAGCCAGTATCCATGTCATCCACACCAAGTCACCTGCCAGAGCCGTTCCTAGAGCACAAACAGAAGATACTCAAATAGAACTACCGTCTTTGTTTCCTGTCGAGCATCTGACCACAAAAACACCATCAAAAACAAAAACAAGTGCTGCATATTAGGTGTTCCTTGGCTGCCCATATAGGCTACTTTGGTTAATTTTTCTGAGGCTAAGTCACTCTCTGATCATTAGGTTGGTAACGACTCCTGCTTATAGCCAACATTGTCAAAGGATCCCCCTACTTTCCCTTTAGATTCCTGCTGTCTCAGGATTTGGGACTATAACCTTTAAGATTAGCAAAATGTGGTCAGGCTATAAGCAGTCGGATGAGTGACACATTAATGGGACAGGAATGGGAACAAGGAGGTTTTTTTTTCCTTCTAGTTATTACTCATGCTTTGTTTTTTGCCCCAAATCTTTAGTAATTAATAATAAATAATAATAAATAATAATAATAATAATAATCACTTTCCTTACATAAGGCTGATTTTGCATGAGATGGTTTGTTGCTGTTTGGTTTTACAAGAAACAGAAGTAAGGAATGTAAATGACAGTGGTACCTTGCCAAGTCATGGTAGGTTATTTTAACCACTGATGAGACCTCATTTCTTGCCAGCACTTAAATTTATGCGCTGCCTCTCAGCATACATTTTCTACTGTTTTGTAAATGTTGCCACATTATTCTAACTGCAGAGGAACCCTGACATTTTAAAGACTATTAGTCACTGAAATGGAACCAGCAAGTGGGTAGGGAGAGGTAAGGATCTACTTTGTGCAGTCGTTCTTTCTTTTGTTAAATAGGTGTAGAACAAGGAGGGAGCCAACTGCTGGGCTTTTTGTTGGTGGTGTTTAGTTGACTTGTGTTTGTTTTGGTGGTGGTGGTGGTTTCTTTTTGTTTTGGGATATTCCTGAAACTAGTAACTCCTGTGGATAAAACAGATGCTTCCGTCTCAGTATTATGATTTCAAAGAACTGCGGCCCCCCCCCCCCCCCCAAAAAAAAAAAGGAGTGAAGCCACTTGCCCATAGATATTCTTAAAATTAATTGCAGGCTTGGCCTGTCAGTGTTGGACTGAAAACCTGACTTGTTTAGCAGATGTAAGGCACTGCCCAGACTAGCCACCCCAGTCAGAGCCCACCAGAGGTACGTATGTTCCTGAGCAGAAGTATGTGTGCTATATGCTGTGATGAACTAAAACATGAAGGTACAGCTGATGTTACAACTACCTTTCTGTATCACACAGAAAGGAGCGAACTTCACTTTTTCTCATTAAAAGGGAGAGGAATTGCAAAAAGTACAGAGGATTTCTTTCCAAATACACTCACAAAGGTGCAAGGCCACCTCTATCAAAAATTTGATTTGGATTTCCATTGAGCACCATTGTGCCACCTAGCACACAACAGCAGTGGGTAGCACGTGCATATCTTCTCCGCAGAGATGACAAAACAGATGACGATGGGATCCCCAACACATTTGTTAGTGTCTGCACATGTCATTGCCCAGTGACATGAAGTTGCATACACGAAATAGACAGCATTATTGTACTACAACAATACTTTTATACCTAAGCTACTTCCTCAGATAGATGAGTAACAGATTAAACACAGGATTCGGAATCAGGTTTTTAGCTTTAAAAGTATATATCTGTTCTTTACCCAGCTTCTTTTCTATAGGCGAGACTCCAGAGACTTTGACAACAGTTCAGTTTTTCCTAGTGATTGTAATTTTGTCATCTCCCTTCTTTGCCGCGTTATGTTTAGCTCTGAAATCAAAACATTTCATCTTGCTCTAGTGTATTTTAACCATATCAACAAAAATAAAAAAATAAAATATAAATAAAAAGAAAGAATAAAGCTATATTGCCGTTCCAGGAGACTTTGATGGTCTGGACAGATAAATCTTTTGCTTATCACTGAAAGTGAGCAACATGCTATATTACAGCTACGAAAGCACTGAAGTTTTACAGATCTGAAATAACTTTTGTGTTTTTTTTTCTAACTTCCATCACAAAACAGACTGTATTAATGCAGTGCTTCAGCTTATAGAAATATTGAAAATACAGTGAATGTCATAGCAAATATCAGTAACAGATTTTTAGTAGCTTAATACTCATAGATCAAAAAAATCCCAAGAAATGCATTACTGCATGTATATTTAATAGTATTAATCTTAGAAAGAACAGTAATGTGTAACTTCTTCACAAGATCTCTAACATAAAATGATTTTAAGCAATAATAAAGAAATTAATTTTCTAGCGTGACTTAAGAACAAGCTTTGCTACATGTAAAAATGAAAAGACACACTGAAATGGAGGGATGGGTAGGTAGATGGGTAGACAGTTAGATGTTCTACACAGAAAAAGCACATTCTCCCAGAAATGAGCAGCTAGATTCTGGGATTGCAGTCAGGTATAGGATTATAAGTAACTTCTGTCTCCTAACATTCAAACACATATGCTAAACCTTACAGAATTAGAGTTACATATTTTCAAAGCATACAAGTGAATAAAGGAATTTCCCAGCTTTGCTTTGCAGAAAGGTATCCAGACTAATTCCTAATGCATTTTTGATAAAGGAAAGAGAAATGTTTATAAAATTACCTGTTGGTTTTCCCCGAAGGTATGCTCAGCCACAGTTCCAGTCCCACCTTTCTTGCTGGGGGACATTTTCTCAGATCAGCATGGGAGGGAGCCACCCGAGCAGGGCTGCTGTCTAACAGGAGGATGACCCAGAACAGAGGGCACCCCCATGGAAGATCAGGAAGAGACATCTTCAGCCAGATCACATCCCAAAGTACCTAAGCAAGGCAACTGGTACAGCACTAAAGATGGAGACCAGGTCCTACCAAACACTGAGAACATAATGAGGTCAAGATGGAAGTCAACCCACAGGTGGAGGTCTGGCTCAAGGCAGGCTGGGGACTCACCAGGTACAGCTGTGGCAGGGACCAGCTGCCCCCAGGCTGAGCTCAGGTGGCCCTGGGGGTGGGCAGAGACACAGGTGAGGCAATCAGAGTCGTTGAAACTTATTAATGCACTCAGGACTCTGAAGCATTTCACAGGGTAATAAATAAATAAATAAATAGATAAATAAATTTACAAGCATTACACTGATCTGAAGTTTGATATGGTATCTATGTATTATGTTATTATGGGGGCAGAACCCTCCATAAACTATATGTTAACTCCTTTTCTAAAAACGGTCTTTTTCTGCAGAAGGGGAATCAGAAGATCTGTACAGACTCAGTTTATGCCATGGTGGTTGCAAGTAACTTGTGGGTGGCTTTTGGCAAAAAAAAATGTATTTTGTTAGAGATACAAAATATGTCGCATTATTACACCTACCCATACAATGACAGAGGTTAAAGATGGAAGAATGTATTAATTCAGTTACTCCCCATTTGGAAATAAAATTGTGGACATAGTGAACCACAAGAAATGATGTTAATACGTTTCACATAGGGTGAATTTGTACATTTTTTAGGAAATGATGGAGTAAGATACCATTCTTTGACTAGTGGATAAAGAAACATCAAAGTGGAAATTATTAGAAAAAAAAATCTGAAAGTAGACTAAAAATATTTTCTCTATTAGTTTTACCAATATTAACCATTCACACTCTCCCAGTTACTGTCAAATGTTTTTTCAAAGAAGAACAAGAACTTTGCCGAGTTTCTTTACAGCAGTAAATCACATTAACTCTGTATCACTTAAATATTCCTACTAATAAATATGAGATGAAAAACTCCAAATCAATGAATTAAAGAATCTATGAGATATTACTGATTATTAGATTACCGATAAATAGAAATAACAGTAATACTTCAGAATGACATGCTTCTGGATGTAGTTTAATAGGCATAAGATTTCTGATAAATGTTATGAAGTCTAATCATCATAACCATGCCAGACGTTGGATTGTACAGGAAAAGGTTGGTTTGAATGTGCTGTTATGTTAGACATTCTTGCCAATATTAAACAGACTGTGACTACTATCAGTACATTTGTCTCTCTCTAGGGCATTTTTAAGATTTTTTTAATTAGCTTTTGTTTCCAAGCAGTGCTTTCATTTTTCTTGATAAAGCTTTTGTTTTTCCAGGTTTTATTGAATTCAGATTAGGCTCCACATTTCCTATATTCATTACAAAAGGAATATGAAGCTTTTAATAATATATGAAAACTAGCAATGATAAGTATCTTACAGTGTTTTCAAATTCAGTTAAGAATGAAATAGTTTAATGGTTACTTCCTTTTATTGTTTTAATTTTGGCACAATATTGCAGAAACATGGTTTCTCATTAGAAAATTCAAATAATGGAAGGCTATGAAAAATGAATGAGGGGTTGAGCCATGGTGATAGAAAGCACACTCCTTAACATAGGTGCTACTTGTAAGAAGCTCCCATCTGCGTCTTGCCATCTCATAAGTCTTGGAACTTAACCAAGTTACTCTGTGTTTCCTGGTCAAGGTAGAAAGCACTTGCCCAAAAGCCCTGTTTGTTTAACCTTTACTGTATTTGTTGCTATTTGTGGGTAAATGTATGCACAGTCAGTTAAGCTAAGAGAGAGCATATTCCATATGCTGCAAAGAGGATGTAAATCTAAGTATGGCCAGAAAATAGGTTAACATGATTTATATTTTCTTTGCACCCAGAGAGACAGTTGTGGTTCTCTGAGTCTACTTTGTAAGCTTTACAACTCTAGACGCCTTTGAGATTGAATCTACCAGTCTGTACCTATTTTCTTTTCTTTCTTTATTTTATTTTTTTTTCTTTTTCAATTGACTCCAATTAGGGCAATAGATTCTATGATATAATTTTAAACCTATTGTTTTGTACTATCACTCAGATTTAAGTAAGTGGTTATGAACCAACACAATTTTCCACAAATTAAAGTAACCAAGCAATAATCATTTACCTTTACAGATATTAATAGTGCGTTTACCAAGCAACAGCATTCACTATTACGTTATAAAAAAATGATGTTTATTAATGGTGTCTCATCACCTTTCACAGCAGGGCTTCTCATCTTATTTTGGCATAATGACTGAGCCAGCATCAGATTTTAAGAACGAATATTATCATTATTCACTACAGTACCACACTGAAGCTTCACTAGAAAGCAATAAAGAACAAAATGTATATTTTAAAGACCTTCATTTTCTCCTAAATGCTTGAATTAAGCTGCAGACTGTGGTGTTCTGAGAATTGAGTTATGTCCTAAAGCAATGCTTCTGAAGAAGTGCATCGTGCCTGGAAATTGGGCTCTGATTAGCCTCTGAGTTTTCTAATACAGACTACTGATTTTCTGCTACTGTAGCTGCCATTTTTGTGTTCTGGCATGGGGATTCTTTCTGTCGCATGAAAGAATGATGAATAGTTGTCTGAGTAGCTCGAAGCACATACTTATTTCCTCTCCAATAAGAGCAACAGTCAATATCATTTAGTCATAGAACAGCATCGCTACAACACAGCAAATCTAAGGAATGCTTTCTTTTTATTCCTGATTCTAGCTACTAAATTGTAGCTCTTTCACAAGCTTATTCATATTGCTGTTCTGCTCCAATGAGCAAGTATTGCTAAAAACAAGGATGGGCCTTCAAACTCCCTAAAATGCTAAAGCATCAATTCAAAAAGGGGCAAGGTATGTAAGGTATCTGTGTAATAACAGCAGTCCTAGCACTTATATCACTTTCACTCATATTTAAATTTCATTTTAATGACAACACCCTGGAAGTGATACCAGCAGAATTCAGAAGAAAAAAAAAGAAGTCAAGGTATCAGAATGGCAGAATTTGTAGATCTCAACACATTTTAAAAAGTTCATGAACTTTAAGGAAAAAAAAAAAAAGAAGGCTAATTATTAGATGAACATTTTCTTTCAAGGTACAAACAAGCAGAAATATTCTTAAGACCAAAAAAAAAAGAAAAGGAAAAAAGTTTGAAATTAAAATTAAATTTTTTGCAATGGTCTCACAGAATTTAATGGTTCAGGATCAGCCACATTGTTGCCAAACTGGTAAAAAAAATAAAAAATAAAAAATTAATCTGTGCAGCAAACTGCAGGGTATGACATGGAGTGCAATTGCCCTACATTGAGCTGATGATAGCTCCTTGCCTCTCACTATTTCTTTCCATGGTGTACAGGCTTCTCACCAGTTTTGCCCACCTGAAGTGGAGATGAGAAACTACTGAGAAAACTATGAGAAACAGTACAATATTTATACTGGGAAAAAAATAAGAAAATAAGAAAGATGTTTTAAAATAATGTAACATCCATATGATGGTCACAGAATAATGGTATGCAGGACAAACCCCCTCAGCCTACACAAGAGTAACACCCACCTGTAGTCTCTGCTATTCAGGTCATGACCCAGATCTGGACACCAACAGACCTGGATTCCTCTGCCTGGATCCCTTTTCGTTATTTTTTAGAGCAAGGCAGCTCTGCCTGGGCTGTGCTGAGCCTGCATGGCAAAGCAGCACACAGACAGCATTGTTTTGGGTACTACAGCAATAAACAGACAAAAATGCAAGAAGGCCGAGAGATTTACGTACCTGTCAAAACCTACCTGAGGGCTCTGACTTCCGTGCACAACTAGATAACAACTAGGGCTGAGTGAATAAGGTATACATTTTCTGTTAATATTGATCTGATTGTTTAAATAAACCCATGCTGGCTGCTGTCACACCTGTGTAGCAGTCACTGGAGCCAGTGCCTTCTGAACCAGAGGGGTGAGATAAAAATTAACTCCCTCTAGTCCCCTGTCCTTTAAATCAAGGCCTGGAAACTAAGGTCTGTTTTCCAAAGCATCTCCCTGTCCCTTGTATACTACAAAAAATCTTTTAATTTTCACTAGCCACTGATATTCCACTATCAGAATGTTCCTATACCGCTGCCATTTACATCTAGGTATTAAGTAGTTTGTAACAACACTAGTTACTGACTTTCTAATAAGCAATTAAACATGTATTCTCTGATGGATGCTTTTTGAACAAAGAGAGAGAAAACAAGTATAAAAAATAAAAAGGGCGAAAAGGAAGAAAGGATGAGATGCCTGACCTACATCCTCTGTTTAAAAAGGGTGGATTGGTAAGCTAAATAATATGAGTGCCAGGTTGGGATTAGGTACCTGTATAATTTGGGATCTAAGGAAAGACAGCACACTGTAGATAGAAGTCAGTACAGAGCAGCTGAGAAACAGAGCCCTTCAGCAGGGGTGCAGGAAGCGGTTTCTGAGCATCTGGGAACCTACAGGCTGCATACTGCCAAAACAATGCTCCTTTGTCAGGGCACATTAATCTTCTCCGTTCCCATTCCCCTGCACAGCCGTGCAGATTGCTGCATGTTGTACCCAGAGATTCAAGGAGCAGAATCGAAGCCCTGCATCTCGCACGTTCCTTGCTTTCTTTGCTGGGAGGCTGGCAGAGCCCTGGGTACAGCAGGGCTCTCTGCGATGTTAGCCCAGCCCTGGCTGCAGGCTTCAGACAGCAGCGTCGTTCTCCCATACATACATGGTAGTCTGGAAGTGGGAAAGATTCTGCTTCTTCAGAATTGCCCTGCACCCATGGCTAAAGGCCAGGGAGATCTCAGCAGGGCAGGTGATTCTTTTTTAGGTCACACCTTTCCAGGATTCGTTTGTTTTGTTTTCTCTTGGAAAGCTCTCCCGCATGCATATCTAGTGCAGCATTTCAGAAGCAGTCTGCTAGAAGAAAATATGCTCTTGACATGAAGCAAACTTTACGCTATCCTTTGATATGTCAAATTATATCAGTGAATATCAACAGTATTCTCCAAAATACATCGTGTTTTTAATGCTCAAAGTTCCTGGCAGAAGTGTGCCAAAGTTGCTATGAACAACTTGCTAAAAAATAAAATAATTAAAAGAAGGAGTTTTGCAGATGTTTTTTCCAGG